GAAACCCACGGGAACAAAAAAAAAATGGTTCCGGTGAGGTAGAGCACAAAAGTCTGATCTACTACTTGCCTACTACTAAGCCTATCATAAAAATAAACGATTCAGTTATATCTATACGAATATTATAAATGGGGGAAACAGACACAGTCATCTTCGAATATTTTGAATGGGAAAGTAACTCGGTTGTTCTGTCCCATGCCCGCTTTAACTCCGAAACTACAGAACTGATTTAAAAGAAATTTTGTAGACACGAGGGGGAAAATATTTAATGCCAACAAAAGCTTTTTTTTTTGGGTTTTTTGTAGCTGGAAGAAGAAACTTTCCTCCTCTAGATAAATTGGTGTAAGGCTTAAATGCTGCCTTAAATGCGCCCTTCCATAAATTAATAAACAGCCTAAATAATTAAAAATTCTACCCCAAGTCACTATTCCACGCGGCCGAAGACGGGGGCACAGGTAGTTATAAAATATGAAGATAAAGAGGAGGTTTGTAAAAACAAATTTGGGAGCCCAAAATAACTATTCTACACGGACGAAGCCACTAATACAGCTAGTATGTTATAATTGTTATAATACATGCAAAACGTATGATGTTCAAAGTGTAATGGGTGGCGTGCAGTAAGTAATATTGTGTAATTTTAGAGGAAGAAAGACGACTTGTCGATGTCGTAATATAGAGCACGCGCGTCTTACCTAAGCAACAACATATTGACCGTAACATAGTTAATTAGACGGTCAATATGTTTCTAGCCTTCAATTTTGATACATATGACTGTAGAGCAGATTTAGTTGACTAGAGTTTACAAGCACTGTCTGTAGTTAACGCGAGAAGTACAAATTTAAATAAAACAGTTTTAACGGTTAAAAATTTAGTTCAAAAAATTTACAAATTATTTTTAATACGTGCCGAGATTTCTGAGCAGCCGGGATCACAAATGTGACACAGATGTTACTTAAACCCACGATCACAGCGTATCGTGCTTGTTTCTCTAACTATTGTGTTGTGCGGGGCAAGTGGCAAATCAAATCGATTTAAATCAATTAAAGAATATACAGTTCTCCTATAATATTACATCCGTGTCATTATTTAGATCCATATTGATATTGTGTCGGTAGCTTACGTTTATATAAAATGTGGTGCTACCGCCAAGCATCTTTAACATCGGCTCGTCATGAAAAGAAGTCAAATTAAGTCTACTTTTTAATTTAAGGCTTTAAAATGCTTTTATTAATATGTTAATATTTCATGAACTATTATATTTATTAAACCCTTAGATATATTAATGTAGTGTAATGTAATGGATCTTAATTAATTTTAATAATAAAATACTTATAGTTTGTCTCTTTCAAACTTAGTAAGCTTCGTTAATAAAGCTATGGAAAATTTCGTGTGTGCGTTTAATTTCTTCAAACACGTCATTAAGGAATGTGTGTAGGAACAGCCTGCGGCAGAATCGACATGTCGTTACATAAGCGGAAAGTTAAGGCTGAGGTCTCGACAGTTGCGTAAAGTACCACGCTTTAGAGCTCGAGACAAACAAGAGAAAAACTTGTAGAGTTAACAAATTATTCATTTTAGGTGTACCAAAACTCATGTAGCATCCGTAGTTTAAGGTTTAAGATTAACTCATTTATTTATCATTTTAAACAGTTAATAGTGATTTATTTAATGCAAATTACTTATTTAGGTTAAGTGTTTTTTATGTGGCTGGCCGGTTAGGCCCTATATTTCGGATACTTTGCTTTGCTTTTTCGAAAACGTCAGGCTGTAGTTTAACTAATACAATTCGCGTTTTAAACAGTTAAAAGTGTTTAATTTAAACGTGTACTACTCGCGTAAACTACACACATAATTTCAGTATTAAATTAGATTGAAAACGACGATGACACCTTTTTCATTACGAGCCAGTTGTCGAATTGAATTTGTCACTGGAGAGTTACCAAATAATATCCATTGAACCAATAGGAATACTTAATAAAAAACAATGTCAGTTTACGCAATATAATTACTATGGACAAACGGTGCGTGCTCTATGTTTTAATGGTGACCTGCATTCTTATGTATTGTTACATCAGATCTGTTTGTAACCGTCTTTATAGCTCATTATACATGCGTACTGACCGAAGAATAATATAGAACACCTAATTTCAGTGATTTTAACATTTAAATAAACACTTTAACTTTAAAACTTGCGGGCTGCTAGGATCGCAGTTGAAAATAATTTGTACACAATTTAAACTAATATAAAGAAAAGTGTTTTATTTAAATGTGTACTACTCGCGTTAAATACAGAAAATATTTATAAACATTTACAATTTCTTAGTTTAGGATTAACTAGTATAAATGTCTCCAAAGCAAACACACCGAACCGACACACGACCGGATCTTTGGCAATGATGGAGAAGCAAAATGGGACGCTTTAGTAATGTCACACAATAAAACACAAGAATATAAAATTGTCAGTAATAAAATTTTTCATATTTTATAACAAGCGAACGATTTTGAACGACATTTCTACATAAAGTGTTTGAAAATATTTCTAATCTCTATGACAACTATAAGGCTTAGATTTGTTCACTGGATTTTATAATAGATAGGACTGTTTATAACGCTTAAATTGATTGATAACGATGAAAATAGAAATCTAAAGTATATTATGTTTGAAAACTTTAAGATTTATCACATGATAGCATTATATAAATTTAAAATATATTTGGATTGAAAAGAAATAACGATACGGGCTGGATTTGAAGCGGCATCTACAGCCTTCCGTACTGGTGCTCTAACTTGGTTAGAACAGCTAACCTTTTTTAAATGTTAATAGATCTTTAATTTGTAGTAGTAGTAGTTGTTCTGCTTATGTTAATAAGTGAACTTTACCGTGTACCTATAAGCAGTAAAAAAAACCTAACACCTCGTATTTCACGACAATTGACCTTGATATAAACATCAACATATTGAAAAACAAAGCAAACATTTTTTTATCACGTATGACTCTCATCTTTGGTATATCCTTGAGGAAAATATTTATATACATATTACGTTTCTATAAGATTTTAAACATAGTCAATTATTTATGTACATATAAAACGGTAGATATCCATGCGTATAGACGACGTTTAACGCTCGTTTGTAACGTAAACAAGTTATTAGCGAAAATGTTTTTAATTTTTCACAGAGGACAGACAAGCATGTATTTACTTAGGTTATTATAAATGTCCCCGGCATTTTATAAGATCAAATGAATTTCTACTGCCGAAAATATAATAATAAACTGCAAGCCAAAATAGCTTTTTAGCTGTGAAAAATGGTAAAATACAAGGGAATAATTATCATCTTAAGAAAATCGCTTCAACATCTAAAGATTAAAGTATAAATGTAACAGATTATAATATAACTAGTGATTTCATAGAGCAATTGATAGTTTATTGCTTATTGAAACAAATTGTTCAGCAATAGATTTCTTATGCAAGATTCTGCACTAAGGAAACAGTACGCAATTCTGTATGTCTTCGCATAATAAGTACATTATTTAAATTTGCAATGAAGATTCATTTAATTCATTGCATATATGATACTAAATCAATTACATAGACTAGATTACCTATTAAGGCACAGATTATGTTTATAATATTATAATGTACGTTATACATGCCCATAACTCAATGTATTTCCTTGTAACACAAGAACATCTCAACATTTATATAATATCAGTTGCATTTACTAGAATTATTATATCATCAATAATTCTTTTATAAAACTTTGTACCTGCTTTATCATTTAAATCGAAAAGGAATGTCTGATGTTAAAAATACACGAGTCGTACATATTTTAAGTAAGGACTTCTATAACCTTTCCGAAGTTTGCACAATTCAGATATTCTTATTTAATTAATTCGGTTATTAATTTTTATATGAAAAATTAGTTAGGTATATTCAATTCGCCCCTGACATCAAAACTAATCATGGATTCTAAGAAGGTTTTACAACAAGTTTTGGCAATGGTTTTTTGTGTATTCTTTGTACTCAAAATATTCTTGTAGAATAGATATAATTATAACCGGTTCTTTTATTTTTTTGTTAAAATTAAATAATGTCTAGCAAGGTAGAAAGGATTAAGAAATATGCATTGTTAAGTCTCTGACATACACTCTCATGCATGAAGTATTTGGCTAGACAATGAAATTGACGTAAAATTTGGAGTAACGAATTACAGTTACAAGTTGACTCTTAAATTGCTCACAGTTTCACTCGCTTTAAATTACAGTCCTAACTGTAATTTTTAATTCCCATTAAAATGTAGACACGCTCTATGGATATGGTGGAAGGGATGCGAAATTAAATTAGGTAAAATATAACTTATCTTGTAATATCACCATTGTATTAATTACTACTACGGTGTTAAAAATGTTTGGCAAATAATGATTATCATTATTTTCAATCATTTAAGGCTATTGATTTTTCTTGTTTGTGTAATTTGCACAAGATATAAGAGTCAGATATATGTTGCTATCGACAATAATAAGAATTTAGGAACTATTTTTAATAAAGATTGGTAATCTAAAGTAAACAGTTAACACTATTAATTTATATTTCACTGTTAAGAAATAAGCAAATTTAAATATTGTAGTTAAGGCTTGTACTTAGTCCATTGATATGTAGGTCATGTCAGAATTGGCGAATAATATAAATATTCATAATCCTACAAGACCTCAGTAATTCGCAAGTTGTAGAGGTAATGTTACTTGAAAATATAATAGGTAGCTTTTTGTTTTGAAGGTTACAATATCGAGGTCGTTCGCTTTCTGTAATCACATTGTGAGCTATAGATTACAAAATAATATTATCTAGTGCTTTATGCAAACACGGTCGACATTTTCATGTTCAATTTTATATAGAGTGTATTCAAAGTTTTGGCATTGTCCTATATTCAATGAATTTGCTGAATATTTAAAAATATCGAGAAATTTAAATAAAACAATAGATTTTAATATAACTTACATAAAGAATGTTCCCATTTTATCGCCCCAATTAGAACTCAGTTCACTAAGACAACATCAAAGCTGGCACATTAACAAATCGCGTTTCTGTTGCGGGCCGATCGCGCGCGGCTGCCACGAACTGCTTGGTTCGCTGGCTATCGCGGAATGAAGCTGGATGCAGCCTTCCTTAGACGGCGGAGGCGCACAGTCGAGAGAGAAAGTTAGCAGTTATCAAACTTGGTTACGTTTGCTGATGACGCTTCCCGATTGCGTATTCAGTGACAAATTAAATTTGAGCGTCCCCGAAGTGTTCTACTGACATGGTGAACGGTGAAGCGAGCACCACTTGTAGCATTTGTTTTTATTTACATTTCGTACCACCAACCTCAAATTTCGTACCAACAAGACAGAAGTATGAACCAAACAGTTTAACGATTTAAAACGCGAAATATATTATTTTGAAAACTTTAATATTATTCACATGTTGGCACTCAATAATAAATTGCCAAAAAATATTCGACTCGGGTAGGACTTGAACCGGCGCCCACAGCGTTCCGTTCTATTGCTCTAACACTGTGGATGCCGGTTCAAAACCTGCCCGAGACAATTTTTTTTATAATTTATTCACGCGAAATATATTACTTAAACTTATTTGATTTTAACTACGGCCCGACGGTAGTCACGGCACCAATATATTTCGCGTTTTAAACGTTAAAGTGTTACTTTAAATGCGTACTAATCCTTTAAACTACATAATTGAGAGAAAAGAGTTTTTAACACTTTAAAGTCAAGTATTGTGTCTGACCTACTTTTGATGTTTTGTGTCATAGTTTTTTCTCATGGATTTCTCGCCTTAATAAATAACTTATTGTATGTTTTTTTTTGTATAATAATGTATTTTCTCTAATTAATAAGAAAACAAGAATCGATCGAAGAAGATATTGAATTTTTATTTATATGTCTAAAGGCCTTTTTAAATATATTACCAAACGCTAGTGTCATCATTACTGTAATCGTGTTTGTAATGATGCGGGTTTTAAAATAATTATACAAGTTAGAAAATCCAATCTTACCGTTTTTATGTTTTAAGCGTTAACTATTATGAACAAAAGTAGTAATAAACGATACTAAAAAAAAAGAAATCTGTGGTTTACGCGTAGTACTCATTTAAATAAAACCCTTTTACCTTTTTAAAACGCGGAATATATTAGTTAATTTAGGGCAGTACCTAAAATAAATTGTGAATAAATTAAAAGTGTTTTATTTAAATAGAGAACGTCAAACGTATTAGTGGTTATTTTATTGCGCATATGTAGGTACCTAAGATTTGTATGTCATTTTTACAAAAAATTCCTTCCTTACTTGCATGAGTAAATATAATCCATTGAAGAATAAAAAAGACATTTTTACTATTATTGTTGTTATTAACTAAATAAGTCCGTCTGTTTTCGTTCGCAAATGTGCAACTAGGATATCAGAATTATTCTCTTATAAGAACTTAATTTTTATGTCTTAGGGCTTAGTTAGTGCGAAACTTGAAGGCTTTGTTAGAATTAAAGATGACGTTGTGTGATGCCTTAACTCATGGCGTTAATTTTAGTAAAAATACACAGTAAGGTCGATTATTTTTTAAAGAAATCTCTCATTACATAAGAGGTTAAATATTTATTCGATTGCAAGCAGCTTTACTTTCACTTTTGTAAATAAGTATTATACACATCGTTTATGACTTGTTTTCATTCTTATGTGTCATGAAGACAGTCTGTAGTTTACGCGAGTAGTACACATTTAAATAAAACACTTTAACGGTTTAAAACGCGATATATATTAGATTATATTTATTAACTTTAATTTATTTTAATCACGGCCCGAAGTTTCGGATGCTATTCTTTGCTTTCATGTGACCACGGCTGCTGCAAAGCATCCGAAACGTCTGGCCACGGTTAAAATAATTCAAATAAGTTTAAGTAATATATATATCGCGTTTAAAACCGTTCAAGTATTTTATTTAAATATGAATTGTTTGTTCAAGAAAATATAATAGAAATGTACAATATTGTGTAATCTTCATTTGTATTTTTAATTAATACTTTCTTAAAGCTATTAAACAAATAGCATATATAATATCACAAAATAATCTAAAACACACAGTATTTATATATATTTTATGATATTATCGTGCATTAAAATTGGTTGAGTAATTTGGGCATATGATCATGCAAACACACACAACCACACTTCGTACGACAAAAGTAGTAACTACCTTCATTTGTCCGTATAACATAGATGAACGAGTGAAAGTAGTGGGATAACAAAACCTGTCTTTACTCAGATGACATCATATAAGTTCACAAGTATTATGTAACACTGGTAATAATATGTAGAACCAATATATAATTATGGATGTTGGTTTAACATATGGGAATACCTAACTGTTTTATACAAACGCGCTTCTAATAAAAATTACTTAAAGATAAATACTACAAAAGTTTATATACCTTTAGAATTTTGTGGTATCTCTGAGTTTGTTTCAAACCACCATATAAATAAAACACCTAAATAGGTGACACTTTTCATGTTTCCCGACATCGATACGATTTTTAATGTTCTACCAGGATGTGTACCTAGTAACTATTATTATTTATTTATTTATTACAGCTTTATTATTTATAATATATACCACATAAACTACAAAAGATAAAAAAAAACTTACGTACTGCTTTATAAATAAAAGGCGGCCTTATCGCTAAGCAACGATCTCTTCCAGGCAACCTGAAGTACAGGGGAAGAGAATTTAAAACAAAGGCTTATTCCTTATACCTACATAAGGTATAAACAAAAAGCAAAAGTACTTTGTAAAAGTATACACAGCAAGTAAGAGAGAAACTGAATTAAGAGTTGGAAAGATAATATCAAATATAATATTTAATAAAGGATACTCTTAAAAAATAGAGATATTCATGTAAAAATTAAGCGCTGGATATTAGCACGTAACTTTACCAAAATGTCTTTATATGTCCTAGATAGACGAAAGTCTTTTAACAAAGGTATTAACTTGAGGACTTGTCCCCATCAGTAGAATTATAATATGTTTTTATTTATTATTAATTTTCATTGAATAAGGCATTAATTTTAGTGAATTGTGACAAAGCCATCACTACATTTTTCTAATAGGAATTTCTTGTATCTCTAAATATTGGCGAAAATTTCACTTTTAAAGCACACAGTGTGTCGCCTACTTATGCGATTCGACAAGCTTTCGTAAAGTTACAAAGGAGACATTAACAGTTACGATGTGTTAGTATATTCTTAAACCATGTATCTTGTATGAAAAAATATGGGTTTAATATAGTTTTATTAAATTTTTAAGAGCTTATAAGGGGTACTCACATAACATCAAATCAAGTATCGCTTAACATCATCACGAAAAGTCGAGCCGAAATTAAAAATAAATTTAACTAAAATATCGCGTTTTAAACCGTTAATGTGTTTATTTAAATGTGTTCTACTCGCGTAAACTATAGACAGTATTTAGTAGTCTGATAACTTTTATATCTTTCACATGATGGTACTATATCAATTCAAAATCAATTTACATGGTAGCTCAATTGGTAAGAACAACAGTACGGTACGCTGTGGATATCGCTTCGAGTGCTACCCGTGACGTAGTTATTTAAAAAATATATAACATCGATTTTCAATTTAACTTAGTAGTCTAAGCTCACAGTAATTTCCCTATTTCGTCACTGCTCTACTTTTGAAGGTTATTGATCTGCTAATGGTGGTAAAGCCAGTATTGAAATGACAAACTAATTCATGTTAATTAAGCTCTTGTAATAAAACAAAACAGGAACGCCGTAGTCACGAGAAGTCGTCACGTGGTTGGGTGAAAGGGAGTGAGTAACAGATATATTTTGTAATTGTGACCTATTTAAATAAACAATACTTTGTAAAACTTACCGCCTCTGTAGTTAAATATTTATTGCATTGCGTTAAGTGTGAGAGGTGCCGGCTGCGACTCCGGAGGAATTAATAGATTGTTTCGGTCGGGTTGGGCACAAAAGTCTAATATACTTGTCTGTAAATAGAATCAATCAAATATAAACAAAAAAAGATCAGTGAAATGGACGCAGAAATTTGTTTGACCTATAGGGGGGAAACATTTAACTTGTAATGTATATAAACAATAAACTAATAGACACATTTGGACAGAACCATCGAGGGTTTAATTGTAGAATATATAGCTGGTAACCGACAGCTCATATGATCGCTTTTCTCCTATTAAATGTCGAGGAAATTAGGGTTCTACCATATTAAAACCTTGACGTTTTATAAATTTAAATGAAATGGGTTATTTATTATAAAAATGAAGATAATTGTTTATGTTCGTTCCACAGTTTTTAAACAATGTTTTAATTTTTGAAATCTAGCTAATTTTTAGTTTGGCCCTTAACATATAATATCATGTTATATGTTAAGGGCCAAACTAAAAATTAGCGCTTAACAAGCCTTGCTGAGCACAAACTGAGTATGATGCCTTCTAGCTTAAAGTTTAAAATTGTTTTTATTATTCCTTGCAGGGTAAGTTTTTTTAATTTATTACTCATTTTAGTTGTAAGTTATGTACTTTGTGTTAATAACGTATTATTTATAAAAAAAATAAATTGCTCGTCGTAAATTGATATCTTCTTGGTTGTTTTACTTACACTTAAAATCCTATTATTCACGAGCAAGACTAAGAAAGTGAACTATGGTCTCTACATGCACCTATCGCGCGATGTAAATAATGTAGGGAAAAAATAGAGTTTTCATTACTTAATTATGTTAGTTTCAGTTCAGTCAATTTTTATTGTTATTTTATATATCAAACCACATTGGCATGGGAGATAACTGATATAAATTAAAATGCAATAATTATTTAACTATTTTAATATTTGAAACCACTCTAGACATAGATGGCGACACAGGAGCTCAATAGCAGAGCAATGGCACAATACAGTTTTTCCAGTGTTAAAGGCGCGGTTCTATTGTTGTTT